TACGGAAAAATATCGTAATCAAAGTCTCAAGTTTTGTTGCTTATGTCCCCTTAAATTAAAAGCGAAAATTAGCGTAAAGGATTCATCGTCGATTGATGTGTGAGATTTTCTTGATCATTTCCAAAATTTTCTTTCGAAAAGCAATTTTTTCAAAACTCGAAAAAGACGCCATATTTATCCTATAATAAACTTTCTGATGCAAAACAAATTTGATTGCAATTGAATGGTAGGTTCTTCCAACTCTGCAAAATAGCTTCTATGTTTTTAGTGCCTCGCACTACGTATCAATAAACAAAACAAAGAAACTTGTTCTTTTTCAAGAATGTTGACTATGTTGAAACTTCCAAATATTATTTTTGTTCAATTATTTAGATTTACAATTGGACATAACCTATTCTCATATTTTCTTGAAGGAAATTGAATGGAAATCTTTCACAAGTAGTTCAAGTCTTCAACAATGAAAAATGAAAGAAATATCAATAAGATACTAGCATGAAAATTTTATCTAGACTACCCGATAATAATGAGACATCGTGAATAGATCATATGAATGAAATTACAGGCACTTTTGGTCTATTTGTAGTGGTTGATGAGGGAAAAACAATAAGGAAAGTGACATTGTCCTTAATTTCATTGGTGTGTTACATATCAATATTACCAGTTATAAACAAAAGAAGGCATTTATTTCACTAATATATATGGAGTACATGGACAGTACTAACAGATATTCTCAGTAAGGATGGCATTTTAAGCTTACTTTAAACTTTAGCTATTTAATTAGAGTATTTTTAGAGTTTAAATGCCATCTTTAAATCTGACTGGGATTTACTACTTATGAAAGAAATATAGTCGGGAATTTCTGATATTATACGTCGTAATTTCTACACTAGTTGTTGAAGTAGTTTCTACGAAATTCTAGCCACGATTAATAGTTTGTCTTCGCTTCCATTCAATGTGATTAATCGACCTTTTATCATTGTCTTATTTTACAGTCCTCTTCTAATTACATTCTTTTTATCAAGCATGCCTAAACTCTGCATTAATGAACGAATATATGTGGCAGATACATAAGTAGATTAAAATGTAAAGGGAAAGTTCATGCGAAATTTGTTACAAACTCAATATAAATTCAGTTCTATTCATTTTCACAGAAACTTTAGAAATTTTACTGATGCCTACTATATTCACAGTGAACTCATAATCATCAAAATTTTTCAGGGTCAGGCTACTGCCATGATTCTTAAAAAACTATTCCGCAATAACTTTTTGAAGATTTGACAATAGGTCAACCGTTCTTACTCTGACTGCACTATCTGATTTACAGCTCATGTTCTTTACGAAGACGTATTGATAATTGATAGGGGCTTGAAAGACTCCGTCAAATTCTTAAAAATTCTTGGATTACAGTTTTTCATAATAGTAGCTATCGCCCTTTTGAAATGCCATCGTTTTCCATCATTTTGAGTTGATATTTTGAGAACGTGCTAGTCTCAGTGCACCCTGATCAGAAGCATTGTCCTGCCTTCAATTCGTTGATATTGGCTAGAGTTATGAGTTCAACACTATTACCATCTTGTGAAGATCATATCTCAGTCATTTTTTGACATTCATTTTCGCACAATCTTTCATCCGAAACTCGAGTGACGCATCTATCTTCAATGCGAATTTGCTAAGGAATCAGTTCAAAACTAGAAAGATGTGATCATCGTACTGAAAATCTTCGTTAAGCAGTAGTGAGTCTCGATTTTGAGCCTGGTATTAGGGCTGATTAATTTACGTTTAAAATAATAATTAAATCCAGGCATAAATTTTAAAAAATTTAAATTTAATATGTAAACTTAAATTCCTTTAAATTGATCAAAATCTAATTTAATCTAATTTCAATCAAATTTCAATCAAGTTTAAATTTATTTAAATTACTTAAATTAATTTAAACTACTGAAATCAGTCTAAATCAATTTAGATTATCTAAATGAGTTTAAATTTATTTAAATTACTTCAATCAATTCAAATTAATCTAAATTCAATTTAAATTGATTTAAATCCAATCAAAACTAATTTAAATCCAATTGAAATTATATTATATCACTTTTAGTCGAGTTAAATTTAAGTTAAACTAATTTAAATGTAATTTAAATTAATTTAAGTTAAATTTAAATTTGTTTGGTTGTCTCTTGGAAAAAAGCAACCTTTCATCTCGAAAGTATGCTATCGAATATATTTTTATGAGTATTTTTATATCAATAGAAAATAGCAGCAACGAAGCACGACTTTTTTATATGGAGTCTTTTGTTCCGATAATCGGATTTTAACATATGATATCAGTCTATTTTTTTAATTTTTATTTAGTTTTTTTTGAAGTTATGTATTCTGACAATAGAGATGATCAATTTAAATTTAAAAAAAGTTATTAAATCCAGAAATAAATTTTGAATTTATTCTACATGAAAATTTAAATTGATTTTAAATTTAAATTGACAAGAATTTAAGTTTAAAATAAATTAACAGGATAATACCACTCCTACCAAGTATCGATAACTCAAGCTGGTCTCGATCAATTCAGTTGAAAAACTTAGTACTATATTATTATAGGCCTGAAAGTTTCTGATGAAATTCTCAGAACCGTAGATCAACGTAGAGACGTGATAGAACCATCGGAAAAACTCATCACAGCATAGCTTACCAACTGATGGAATTGTGATATTATGCAACGAGCTTGAGATCCAAGACATTTGGTATATATGTTTGCAAGAGCTACAAAAACTAAGAATAAATCATTCGAATACGAAACGGCGAACGAACATTTTCTTAGATGATATTTCATTTAGACTTGTTCCACGAACGAGAAACAGTGTATCGAAGCATAAAGTATGTCTTTATTTCGATAGATTTGGTTCCAAAACCATTTTGCTGATATCATAAGATTTTTGCTTCATCAATTACATTTGTCTTTATGTCATCTATGATGCGCTGACTCAAAAAGAGCTTTTTCTCATCACTAAATGTCAAATGACTAGTAGAGAAGAGCATCATGTACATAGATGCGATGTTTATCGTTTTTTGAACAAGTATAAATGAAATACCATCTAAGGAAATGTTTGTTTATCATTTCGTATTCAAATGATTTATGGCTGCTTGTTTTTAAGCACTAACTGCAAACATGTATACCAACTTTCTTGGTTCGGAAGCTCGTTCATAATATTACAATTCCATCAATTGCCACGCTGTGCTGCGGTGAAATTTTCCAATGATTCTATCACGGCTCTACGTTGAGCTAAAGTTATAAAAATTTCATAACAAATATTTGGGTTTATGATAACATATTACTAAAACTTTAGATTGCATAGATTGAGACCAGCTTGAATTATCGATACCAGATTCAAAATCAGGGCTTACTACTACTTAATGAAGATTTTCAATACGATAGTTAGATCTCCGTTATTTTGAACTGATTGGTTAATGAATTCTTACTGAAGATAGCCGTGTCACTGCGCTTCTGAATGAGGAGTTACACGAAAATAAATGTAGAAAAATGACCGAGATATGCTCTTCACAAGATAATAATAGTGTTGAACTGATAAATTTAAAGAATATCAACGGATTGAAGACAGGATGGTGCTCTTAATCAGAGTGCATTGAAGTCAGCACATACTTAAAGGATTAACTCAAAATGATGGATAACGATGGCATTGAAGAGTAGCTTTATAGTAGCTAATTTCTGGAGTTCATTTCATACAGAATTTCGAAAAGTTTTCCTCTCAAAAAAAAAACAATCGCAACGATACGAAAATAACACTATAAAGATTTAGAGGTTCTACCTGAGCACTAGAAAATTCGCTCAATACTCCTGACTACGAACGCTTTCCAAAGAGACTGGACTTTCGAAAGACATACACTTACTCGTTGAATTTGTGTGAAATCTTGTATGTTTATCAGCATAATAACACTGTAATCTATCGATCTTGTTCTATGAGTGAGAATAACGCGCTCTGTTGCCTATATATTCACCGCAAAATCAGGTCGATGTTTGACTACAAATATCTATATATAGACTAATAAAGCATGATTTATTTATCATATATTGCCTTTGTTTCATACAAATATTACCGTCGTTTTGCTTGCTCTGTCCCTGATCGTTCCCATACATTAATCGACGTTGATGAAGAGGCAGTTGAATATTCGCTAAAACATGCACTATGTGACGTAGTCACCTGTTTTTATTCTACATTCATTGCACAGAATCGACAAAATATTGTAATTTCATTGGCCATCGTTTCTCCTTCAATAGCATAATCTTGGTCAAGTCAACCCAAAACAACATTTTCACACATTACGGAGGCTATCTGTTTTACATATACAACCACAAGCACAGCCTTCTGTTATTGAAGAATCTAACAGATAATCTATTGCCACTCTACAAAACTAAACTCTTATCAACTAAAAAGCATTTTTGAGAAACAGCGGATTTGTTTAAGTGTAGTACTTGCATTATATTAAACAAAAGATCATCAACAACGTGTATCAGAACTAGAAATGAAATACGTATATATATTTCAGAAAAAAAGCCAGGTTTCTTGAATAACAAGCTAGACTAAGATCTATCAGAAAGCTTTTAATTCTTTTTTAAATATCTATTCTCATGAATCTACAATAGTAAAATGATATAAGAAGGAAAACAAGAAGTTAATTATGAACACCAATAGTATTCAATCATATGAAGATATTCGTATGAATCTCAGTGTTACTGATGTCATGGTTTTGCAAACTGCTGTACTTTTTATCATTGTCTAAGTAATCGGTATATCATCTATTGATAATTTATTCATTCGTATTCAATTCATCATAAAATTGAGATCAGGCACCTTTTCAAAATGCTTACTAGATAAGTTTTGTTGAACATAGCAATCAAATGAAATCGCTGATCTTTATGAACACTATTCTGATCAACTTTCTAATTTTACTTTCAAAAAAAAATATAACATTGAATAAAGCAAATATAGTTATACATTTTGATAAAGAAGACTAACTTCAAACAAAGTCCTGTTTGTTAGAATTGGTGAATTAAGTCGATCAAATTGTTGTATTATATTATTAATTTTTCTTTTTACTAAATTAGCTGCATATGAATTTTTGATTAATGGTTTTTCAATTAAATTACATTGTTCTATTAATAAAGTTTTTGATGAACAAATATTTAATGTACAAAATGTTTGAGTTTTTATTAAGCCTATTTTATATTTCTTTGCTTGGCAGCTGAACCATTTTAATAATTGATCTGTATGTGTTTTCTTTTTGTGAATTGTTGTTTCAAATTTTTTACGTTGCTTTATCATTTTTACATCTAAGAATGATAATTCAGAATCTTCTTCGATTTCATTTGTAAATCTGAGATTCGGATTTAATGAACTAACGTAATTTAATAATTTTTCAATATTACTTTATTTTCCATTTAAAATAATAAATGTGTTGTCGATGTATTTTCTATAAAATTTAATTTTGTTATTATCTTCCAATTTTCCTAATCCCTATTCGATATGTTCCATGAACATATCAGTTAGTATAGGAGTCAAAGGACTACCCATACTGACTCCATCTACTTATAAATATAATTTATCATAAATTCTGAATAGTACATTGTTCACAGCTAAATCGAGTAAGCGAAATCTTTTTTATTTAATTTTTGTACATTCATTATCTTGTTGTTTCTTTTTCATAAATATTTTAATAGGTAAATAAATTGTTTCATGAACTGGTATATTTGTGAAGAGCGGTTCAACATCTAAACTTAACATTAAATCATTTCTCTGTGGTTTTTGTTGTTGGATCAGTTTAGCAAATGTAGATGAGTCTTTAATATATGATTTTAGTTTTGTTCTTGCTTTTTCAAGTAATGTTGTTAAATATTTAGCTAATTTATAGTTGTAGTTGTTTGTTGTAGAAATGATCGATCTTAAGGATATTTCTTGTTTATGAATTTTTGGTTGATAATATACGACGGCACATCTTGATCCAGATGTTCTTATGAAATTATAATCTTGTTTAGTCAACCTCTTATACTTTTTTAAATCATATATACGATAATTTAATTTATTTTCCATCTTTTTCATAATATTTTCAATTGTATTTTGATTTCCAATTTCATCTATATCTTTCATTTTTTGACATGTTTCATCTGTGGATCGTAATTCTTCCACTTTAATTTTATATTGTTTATTATCTATAGTAACACATAATGATCTTCTATCAGCTTCCATCATAACAATAGTTTCATCTCTCATTAATACTTTTAATGTTGTTAATTCACTTGGATCAGTATTTATAATTTACTTTTTTTTGTTCATTTTTAACGATTGATAAGCTGCTCCTTTTGCACCATTAAAAATACATTGATCTAAAGATTTTATTTCTGATTCTTCTAGTTGTTTTAAGGTGTTATAAGCCAGCATTTCAATATTTGTTTTGAATTTGGTAATGCCTTTGATTTTTGCTTCAATACAGAACTGTAAATCTTATAATACAATAGATTCTTCTTCAGCAAACACTTCACGAGACGAGATATTGTGCATAACTTTTTTGACATCAACTTGGTCTAATTTAATATTACCTTTGGATAGATGTTGTATTTTATCTTTATGAATTGTTCTAATTTTTGTTTCTTCTTTTTGTTTTAATCTATCAAAATGTTGTTTTAATAGTTGACATTCAAATGCATTGATTTTATCATTAATTGTTGATAATAATTTTTGATTTTGTTCTTCTAGTTTGTATATTTGTTTGCATTTGTTATAATATTCGAATTGTAAATAATACCGTTGATGTTGTTGATAAACTTCCTGATTCATATACGTTTTATTCTAAAATTTATATTTGACGAACTTTGGTGTTAAATTATACATTAAACCAATCCTGACAAATTCACTATCACATTTCGTTTTTAAGAGTTTTAAGAATAGTTTTTCATAACTTCTTATATCTTTCACTATATCTTTCTCATAATTTGAATACAGGTGTTTAATAATATGGATTTCGTTCAATGAAATATTTTTAAATAGACTAATAACGAATAATAAGAGTTCATTGATCATTTTATTTGAATTTATTTAAAAAAAAACTTGTGAATATTTCGGACCAATCTTCAGTCCATTTTCAGCACAAGTGACAAGTAAAAAATAAAAAAATTTTAAAGTATAACTATTCTTTTCTTTTCTTTTCCATTGAAATGCCACAAGTAAACATTTCCCCCCTTGCATTCCAATGTAAACGGAAAGAAAAGAATAGTTATACATTAGAATATTTTTTATTGTTTACTTGCCATTTGTGCTGGAAATGGACTGAGGATCAGTTCGAAATATTCCCAAGGTTTTTGAATAAATTCTAATAAGATAATCAATGAACTCGTATTATTCGTACTTATTCTATTTTAAATATATTTTATTGAATGAAATCCAAACAAAATAACAGCGTTGAATTTAGCAAGTTCAATAAAAATTACATCATTCGAAAGAGCATAAAAAGCTGAACAAAATATACTAATTTTCTCAAAGGAGTACTCTTAAGTCTCCAGAAAAAATTATTAAAACAAATTTTACAGCAGAAATAACGAGG